TTAAAAAAAAAAAAAAAAAAAGGATTGATACGTCCTTATCATGTGCCGTAATTTTATGAACTTCTTACTCATTTTACCAAAGGATATGCATGGAAGTCTCAAGTCTGAAAAGAAGTTTATATGCATGTTGCAGCAAAGACAATAAAACTATAGCAACTTCTTGTCCTTTCGCTATGAACTTAAAACTGTCTTTTGTGCATCTCAGTTCAAGAAAGCTCTGTTATCACTGACTATTTTATTGTTCATTGAAGATTGTGGAAGTGCTTTTTCTCAAATACTAGAGCTCTTTACTTATGCGGATAACTTTCTTTTCGCAGCTAGAAAGTTTAATTGCCGGAGGATTCTTGGCGTTGATATTGATCCCGGTAAGATTTACTCTAAAAGCTCTACAACTTCCATTGCAGATCCACTTTATACTTCTACAAAGTACATGAAAGCGGTTTTGTGAATAACTATCTTCTTTGGAGGTCTAAATCTTAATTGATGATGCATTCTATCATTAACTATTTTAAGCACTTGTAAATTAGTCATGTAAATTATAGCCTGGGATGGTTGGATGCTGATTTATTGTTCGACTATATTATTAGGGAGATTAGTTGGAGAATTCTTATACAAAAAAAGTAATTGAAGGGTTTTACAGAAAAGGGTAGATATTAAAGGAGGTTGTTGATAAGGGTACGTGTGATAAATATTTAGATCTAAATAGTCTTGAGTGGTATGCCCTTTCCCGGTCCCCTATGGGCTGTAATTATAACCTGTAACACACACATATTTTTTTGGCTTTGTCCTATCGGATTGCCTCTTAGTAACTTACTTCATGGGTGGGAACTCGAATCTCTGTTCCTCCTTTATATTGATAGAATCAAAGCTCGTGACCTGAAATTATTGAGGGAACTTACATTGTTTGTTGAACTACATGGATCATAGTGACTTCATCAATACGAACTCTATCTTTTACTGGTGGCTTTAGTAATAATCACATCATGTTCTGGTAGTTATGTTAGGAGAAAATATATCTCAAAAGTGAAAGAATTGTTTGTATACCAAGGTACTTAGCCAGAGTTGATCTCCCAGTCTTTCTATACAAATGATTGCTGAGTTTCCAACCTGAACTTCTCTTTATGCAAGATCGAGTTGACGATGCTTACCGGAATCTAAGAAGGGCAAGAATAAATGTTGGGAAGCCGGATAATGGTTTGGAGCTTGGTGCTTCTGGAGCTTCGAAGATAGATACAGAAGCTTCTACAAGTATTTCTTCTTCCAAAGAACATGATCTTCATACCGATGTTTCCTTCCAACAGCAGAATTTTATATTTAGTCAATATCCACCTGAGAAGCACTATGATACAATTCTTTGGTAAGTTAATCTTTTTATCTTGTGTTGCGTATTAATGCTATTTGTTTTCTTGACCCTTGATACATCTCCCTTCTGGGGTCACAATATGCGTTTTTTGTTTTTTTTGTTTTTTTTCTGTACTGCAGTTTGAGTGTAGCAAAGTGGATTCATCTAAACTGGGGAGATGATGGTTTAATTACATTGTTTTACAAAATTTGGAGACTGCTTCACCCGGTACTTGCCTTGTCATACACCTATGCACTTTGTGTTAAATGGTCCTAAGATCAATAATAACCGTCCTAAGATCAATAATAACCTTGGTCAGTTATATGTTTGTATTTACTTTAATGTTCGATTAAGAACCTTCTTAATTATGCATTCATTCTGAAAAGGCAGGGTGGCATTCTTGTTTTGGAGCCTCAACCTTGGAAGTCTTATGAAGCCAACTATAGTGTTTCCGAGGTAAAAAATTTCATGCATCCAAATTGTTAATCAATAATTACTTTTAGTCAAACTTGAATTTTTTTTTGGGTGCTCTTCTAGCATCTCATATCATATTGCCTTAGATCGCTGATCGTTCTAATGCAGACAACTAAAAAGAACTTCAAGTCTATAAGGATCCTTCCAGAAGAGTTCCAAGAGATACTCCTAGACAAGGTATTTTTATGATTTATTTGGCTTAGTTTTACAAACAGCATCAGTTTTCACTAACTTCTGGACAAAATACCACCCCAGATTGGGTTCAGAACAGTTGAAGCCTTAACCACCGGCTTGTCCCACAGCAATACAGGAGGATTCAATCGACCAATTTTTGTTTTCCAGAAGTGAATGTTTGTAATCTGGACATCTGAACCAAATTGAATGCAGAGAGCCATCAGCTGGTCTTTAGAAGTAGTTAGTTACAGGCCTTGTTTAGTTTAAATAGTACATTACATATTCCAGACATGGTAAAGAGTGTTTGTTTTTGAAGGGTGCCGTCTGTAGTGGGATCCCTGTCACTTATGCGTAGGTGCTTTTTGAAGGCTTGTTGTAAGCTTCTGCTTTTTGATATTTACATCGTTATCCTTTTGAACAATCTGAACGCTGATATATATTACTATTCATGTACCGTTCATTTATCATTTTCACTCATAACTAAGTTTAAACCTTTCTCTGTGTGACAACAAAGTTGTTTGTCTCATTTTGTAACCCGAACAAGGTGACAGTTGATGAAAATGTAATCAAAACAAGTCTTTTAATTCTGCTCAGTTTGTATCAAAAAAGAAAAGAAAAGAAAACGTACTTTAAAAAGTGCTTTGCAATCCAAATAGTTCCCGAAGTGGATGCTAAATCAGCTCAGGATATTATTATTTTGAACAAGTTTCTTTAACATCTTGACTAGTCGTAGTCTGAGTGAATCCAATCCTATCCAGACTTCTTCCCAACCAAGCTCACCTGACTTGTCTTTGGTTGCAGGAATGGATCTTAGTCAATGATAGGGTTAGGAATGTCTTAGAGCAACGTTAGGTGCAGATTAACCATTGGGTGTCCTTTACAGTTTCACAAGCTGGTCCTCCAGACAGCCATTGACAAATTCCGAGTTAAATATGGTTGATTTTGTAGCTATTTCATTTCCTCAACCACTAGAGGCAAAAGGTCTTTCTCAGAAGTTGATTTGCTTTGACCTCAGTTTCGAATATTTTCCAGTTTGCTACAAAAGAAAGCATTTGTTTCTTTCTGGATAACTCTTCCCAGGGTCATTTTTCATGGACAGGTCTGTCTAAAGAGTAAAAAGTGATTTCAGTTTGAATCTATAGGAAAGCGTGCAGTATCAAAAGGTTCCTTTCTGTAACTATCTTTACCTCCCTTACTTATTTGCATGACTTGTGTTCTTCATCCTAAGCCAAATAATTTTGTGCACTAATACTTTGTAGGCTCCTCAGTCCCAAGATTTCACAGATCAAGCAAATGGGAAAGCAAGTTTTATATGAAACATGTATCCATTTATCCATTTTCAAAAATAGTAAGAACGGTACATCGAAACCAATCATAAAGCTATGAACTTGCAAACAGGGTTTCTCTCAAAGAAGAAAAAAATAGCATTTTTGGTACACAACTGAGTGTGAGTGTGATATTGTTATTGCTGGTAGTCATGCTTGTATTTGTGTTAGAACTGCCGTCTATAACATTCTGGTGGCAGTACCCCACTGGATCGTTTACGTGTAGGGTCTAGGCAGTAATCATATATCATGTATTTCTGGCGGATTTCCCTAAGTTTGGTCGACTGAGAAGCACTTAGCTGTGCATAAACTGGAGAAGTCCACCAGTTTGTAGGGGAGTTGGAGGAACATTGGCTAATGCTGAGCGCTCCATTCCAGGGACAAGCTCTTAGCCTAAAGCGGCGAAATCTAGCCGTGAACGGTGCATAGGACCAGTTGGTTTTCACGCGCCCTCCTTGAGTTGCCCAATCCTGTGCGTTCCACAAACTGGTATATAACCTCATACCTTGCTTGTTAGGGAAAGCTGTTTTTAGCTTCGGGGCGTTCTCGTAGTTCCGGAAAACTCTAATTGGAATACTATCAATATACCACCTGAAATCATCCAGATCACATCATGTTCTTATTGGGATCAATTTTCACCCTATGCTTTTAAGTTGATCAAATTTTCACTTACACAACAGCATTAGGATTCCAGTGAATTGTGTAGTTGTGGAAATCAGCAGTGGGGTCGAACCACGGTCGAAACTGCTGTTCTCTGTGTCCCACACCCTGAACAAATATGTTTGTATGAATGGTATAAGGCTCTACAGTGGCATTCCCCAAGAACTCAAAGTCTACCTCATCATGATGGCTACCTTCAGAAGATAGCTGCAAAAATTTTAAGATGAAGAATTAACACCAGAAAAACTCTATGTAATCTATGTAGATTGGTCAGGTATTTTTTGAGCATTGAACCATACATAAAATGCCGTTACTAATCCCGCAGAATCTCCTGGAACGAACTTGATCTGAGCTTCAAAGCTTCCAAAAATGAAATATCTCTTTGACTTTGCTCCCGAGCCTGCAACGACAGAATTATTCTTGGCGGTCAAAGGTAAGTACTAGATGAATTTGTTCATTTTGCACATTCACAGTTCTGAGAAACATGGAGATATGGTCAAGAAAGCAAGAAATGACATCATTTCACCTGAGCTTTGGTCCAGAACAAGCTGAAGGTCATCCCCTTCTATTTTGGACTGACTATTTCCCCAGAATAGGACCATGTTTTTTGACGTCATGGCATCAACTACCATGTGATTAGACACAATCACACACACCAAAAATGCTATTGAAAGAGATTGAAACCCTGCCATTTCAATCCCAATATCAGGAAGCTCTTTCTGTCTTCCTAATTTGTGGGATTGGGATGGGATGTTTCAAAGATTCAAGTTTCTGATCCCTTTATAGCTTGCCTTTCCTCGTCTATTATTAGACATTGGCTATTTCAATCTTTAATTTCCTGAATAAGAGCTATAATTGTATGAATTACAGCTTTGCACACTTAAAAATAGTAAAGTTGAAAAGGTCCTTCGTTGCCGTGATAGAAACCGGTTTTTCTCTATTAATTCGTAAGCTATAGTATCTTGGTTCAAATGGTGTAGAAAGGTGAGCGGCGCCCCCAACTTGATAAAGGGTACGGGGCACAATGCTAAGAAAGTATGAACTATATGATAAGAATTCTCAAATTAATGATGCATTTTATCATTAACTATTTTAGGCACTTGTAAATTAGTCATGTAAAGTATAGCCTGGGATGGTTGGATGCTGATTTATTGTTTGACTATAGTTTTAGGGAGGAGAATTTTTATACCAAAAAAGTAATTGAAGGGTTTTGCAGAAAAGGGTAGATATTGAAGGAGGTTGTTGATCAGGCTATGTGTGATAAATATTTAGATCTAAATAGTCTTGAGTGGTATGCCCTTTCCCGGTCCCCTATGGGCTGTAATTATGACCTGTAACGCACTTATATTTTTTAGCTTTGTCATACCGGATTGCCTCTTAGTAACGCACTTCATGGGTGGAAACTCGAACCTCTGTTCCTCCTTCATATTGATAGAATCAAAGCTCGTGACCTGAAATTATCGAGGGAGCTTACATTGTTCGTTGAGCTTCATGGTTCATAGTGACTTCATCAATACGAACTCTTATCTTTTTGCTGGTGGCTTTAGTAATCATCACATCATGTTCTGGTAGTTATGTTAGGAGAAAATAGATCTCAAAAGTGAAAGATTTGTTTGTATACCAAGGTACTTAGCCAGAGTTGATCTCTCGATCTTTCTATAAAAATAGTTGCTTTTGTTTCCAACCTGAACTTCTCTTTATGCAGGATCGAGTTGATGATGCTTACTGGAATCTAGGAATGGCAAGATAGATGTTGGGAAGCCGGATAATGGTTTGGAGCTTCGAAGATAGATGCAGAAGCTTCTACAAGCATTTCTCTTCCAAAGAACATGATCATACCGTTGTTTCCTTCCAACAGCAGAATTTTATATTTAGTCAATATCCACCCGAGAAGCACTATGATACAATTCTTTGGTAAGTTAATCTTTTTATCTTAGGTGTTGCGTATTAATGCTATTTGTTTTCTTGACCCTTGATACGTCTCCCTTCTGGGGTCACAATATGCGTTTTTTCTTTCTTTCTGTACTGCAGTTTGAGTGTAGCAAAGTGGATTCATCAAAACTGGGGAGATGTTGGTTGGAGACTGCTTCCTCCGGTACTTACCTTGTCATATACCTATGTACTTTGTGTTAAATTGTCCTAAGATCATGAATAAGAACCTTCTGTATTTACTTTAATGTTTGATTAAGAACCTTCTTAATTGTCATATACCTATGTACTTTGTGTTAAATTGTCCTAAGATCATGAATAAGAACCTTCTCTATTTACTTTAATGTTTGATTAAGAACCTTCTTAATTATGCTTTCATTTCAAAAAGGCAGGGTGGCCGGCAGGGTGGCATTCTTGTTTTGGAGCCTCCTTGGAAGTCTTATGAAGCCAACTATAGTGTTTCCGAGGTAAAAAATTTCATGCATCCAAATTGTTAATCAACAATTACATTTAGTAAAACTCAAAATTTTTTTTGAGTGCTCTTCTAGCATCTGCTATCATATTGCCTTAGATTGCTGATCTTTCTAATGTTGACAACTAAAAAGAACTAGTTTATAAGGATCCTTCAAGAAGAGTTCCAAGAATTAACACCTATCGAAAAGATATTACAAAACACTCAGAAACTAAGTGCTTTAAATTTTTTGGGATGAAAAGCTTGGTAGGGTGGAGGGGTATTCATAGTAGAGGTTAAACAATTTATTCCAAAAATATCTCACCATTTTTTAAATCATTTTCCTAAAATACCTTGATATCTTTATTTCTAAAATCCTAAATTATTTTCCTATGGAATTATCCTAAATGGGATCATACAATTATTGGGTTTGTATTGGGCTAATGATGGTATTTTAACATTTACCCTCAGCAGTCGCTGCACCATGTTGAGCAACAAGTGTGCTACTTTGTCATCTGTCTTACATCTCATTTCAAGGCTCTCTCAAAAGTTGATTTGCTTTGACCTTAGTTTCCAATATTTTACAGTTCGAAATAAAAGAATCCATTTGTTTCTTTCTGGATAACTCTTCCCAGGGTCATTTTTCAACAACAGTTTGAATCTATAGGAAAGCGTGCAGTATCAAAAGGTTCCTTGTGTTCTTCATCCTAAGCCAAATAATTTTGTGCACTAATACTTTGTAGGCTCCTCAGTCCCAAGATTTCACCGATCAAGCAAATGGGAAAGCAAGTTTTATATGAAACATGCATCCTAGTAAAAACGGTACATCGAAACCAATCATAAAGCAATGAACTTGCAAACAGGGTTTCTCTCAAAGAAGAAAAAAATAGCATTTTTGGTACACAACTGAGTGAGTGTGATACTGTTATTGCTGGTAGTAGTGCTTGTGTTTGTGTTTGAAGGGCCATCTATAACATTCTGGTGGCAGTACCCCGTTGGATCGTCTCCGTGTAGGGTCTAAGCAGTAATCATATATCATGTATTTCTGGCGGATTTCCCTAAGCTTGGTCGACGGAGAAGCACTTAGCTGTGCATGAACTGCTTAGACCCTTTTGATACTGCAGTGCGATAGTTTTATTGCTGGTAGCAGTGCTTGTGTTTGTGTTAGCATTCTGGTGGCAGTACCCCGTTGGGTCTACGTGTAGGGTCTAAGCAGTAATCATATATCATGTATTTCTCGCGGATTTCCCTAAGCTTGGTGGACTGAGAAGCACTTAGCTGTGCATGAATTGGAGAAGTCCACCAGTTTGTTGGGGAGTTGGAGGCACATTGGCTAATGCTGACCTCTCCATTCCAGGGACAAGCTCTTGGCCTAAAGCGGCGAAAGCTAGCCGTGAACGGTGCGCTGGCCCAGTTGGTTTTCACGCGCCCTCCTTGAGTTGCCCAATCCTGTGCATTCCACAAACTGGTATATAACCTCATACCTTGCTTGTTAGGGAAGGCTGTTTTTTGCTTCGGGGCATTCTCGTAGTTCCGGAAAATTCTAATTGGAATACTATCAATATACCACCTGAAATCATCCAGATCACATCATGTTCTTATTGGGATCAATTTTCACCCTATGCTTTTAAGTTGATCAAATTTTCACTTACACAACAGCATTAGGATTCCAGTGAATTGTGTAGTTGTGGAAATCAGCAGCGGGGTCGAACCACGGTCGAAACTGCTGTTCTCTGTCTCCCACACCCTGAACGAATATGTTTGTATGAATGGTATAAGGCTCTCCAGTGGCATTCCCCAAGAACTCAAAGTCTACCTCATCATGATTGCTACCTTCAGAAGATAGCTGCAAAAATTTTAAGATGAAGAATAAGCACCAGAAAAACTCTGTGTAATCTATGTAGATTGGTCAGGTATTTTTTGAGCATTGAACCATACATAAAATGCCGTTACTAATCCCGCAGAATCTCCTGGAACGAACTTGATCTGAGCTTCAAAGCTTCCAAAAAGGAAATATCTCTTTGACTTTGCCCCCGAGCCTGCAACAACAGAATCATTCTTGGCGGTCAAAGGTAAGTACTGTATGAATTTGTTCATTTTGCACATTCACAGTTCTGAGAAGCATGGAGATATGATCAAGAAAGAAAGAAATGACATCATTTCACCTGAGCTTTGGTCCAGAACAAGCTGAAGGTCGTCCCCTTCTATTTTGGACTGACTATTTCCCCAGAAAAGGGCCATGTTTTTTGACGTCATGGCATCAACTACCATGTGATTAGACACAATCACACACACCAAAAATGCTATTGAAAGAGATTGAAACCCTGCCATTTCAACCCCAATATCAGGAAGCTCTTTTTGTCTTCCTAGTTTTTGGGATTGGAATGGGATGTTTCAAAGATTCAAGTTTCTGATCGCTTTATAGCTTGCCTTTCCTCGTCTATTATTAGACATTGGCTATTTTTATCTTTAAATTCCTGAATAAGAGCTATAAGTGTATGAATTACAGCTTTGCACACTTAAAAATAGTAAAGTTGAGAAGGTCCTTCGTTGCCATGATAGAAACCGGTTTTTTTCTATTAATTCGTAAGCTATAGTATCTTGGTTCAAATGGTGTAGAAAGGTGAGTGGCGTCCCCAACTTGATAAAGGGCACGGGGCATAATGCTAAGAAAGTATAAACTATATGATATATGAATTCTCAAATTAATGATGCATTTTATCATTAACTATTTTAGGCACTTGTAAATTAGTCATGCAAAGTATAGCCTGGGATGGTTGGATGCTGATTTATTGTTTGACTATAGTATTAGGGAGGAGAATTTTTATACCAAAAAAGTAATTGAAGGGTTTTACAGAAAAGGGTAGATATTGAAGGAGGTTGTTGATCAGGCTATGTGTGATAAATATTTAGATCTAAATAGTCTCGAGTGGTATGCCCTTTCCCGGTCCCCTATGGGCTGTAATAATGGCCTGTAACGCACTTATATTTTTTAGCTCTGTCATACCGGATTGCCTCTTAGTAACGTACTTCATGGGTGGAAACTCGAACCTCTGTTCCTCCTTCATATTGATAGAATCAAAGCTCGTGACCTGAAATTATCGAGGGAGCTTACATTGTTCGTTGAGCTTCATGGTTCATAGTGACTTCATCAATACGAACTCTTTTCTTTTTGCTGGTGGCTTTAGTAATCATCACATCATGTTCTGGTAGTTATGTTAGGAGAAAATAGATCTCAAAAGTGAAAGATTTGTTTGTATACCAAGGTACTTAGCCAGAGTTGATCTCTCGATCTTTCTATAAAAATAGTTGCTTTTGTTTCCAACCTGAACTTCTCTTTATGCAGGATCGAGTTGACGATGCTTACTGGAATCTAGGAATGGCAAGAATAGATGTTGGGAAGCGGGATAAAGGTTTGGAGCTTCAAAGATAGAGACAGAAGCTTCTACAAGTATTTCTCTTCCAAAGAACATGATCTTCATACCGTTGTTTCCGTCCAACAGCAGAATTTTATATTTAGTCAATATCCACCTGAGAAGCACTATGATACAATTCTTTGGTAAGTTAATCTTTTTATCTTAGGTGTTGCGTATTAATGCTATTTGTTTTCTTGACCCTTGATGCGTCTCCCTTCCCCTTCTGGGGTCACAATTTGCGTTTCTTTTTTTCTTTCTTTACTGCAGTTTGAGTGTAGCAAAGTGGATTCATCAAAACTGGGGAGATGTTGATTGGAGACTGCTTCCTCCGGTACTTACCTTGTCATACACCTATGTACTTTGTGTTAAATTGTCCTAAGATCATGAATAAGAATCTTCTGTATTTACTTTAATGTTTGATTCAGAACCTTCTTAATTAAGCTTTCATTTTGAAAAGGCAGGGTGGCCGGCAGGGTGGCATTCTTGTTTTGGAGCCTCAACCTTGAAAGTCTTATGAAGCCAACTATAGTGTTTCCGAGGTAAAAGATTTCATGCATCCAAATTGTTAATCAACAATTACATTTAGTCAAACTTAAAAAAATTTTGAGTGCTCTTCTAGCATCTGCTATCATATTGCCTTTAGATCGCCTAATGACTTCAGTGGTTCCAGCATAATACAAATGAAAGAAAAAGGGGAAGGACATCATAACATAATGAGATACTAATCTTAAAAGAGGGGGAGGGGATATGGCGAAATCGGTAGACGCTACGGACTTAATTAGATTGAGCCTTGGTATGGAAACCTACTAAGTGATAACTTTCAAATTCAGAGAAACCCTGGAATTAAAAATGGGCAATCCTGAGCCAAATCCTTTTTCCGAAAACAAAAAAAAGGGTAGGTGCAGAGACTCAATGGAAGCTGTTCTAACAAATGGAGTTGACTACGTTGCGAGTAAAGGAATGAATCCTTCCAAACTCCAGAATAGGGCCATGTTTTTTATATTTATATATAAAAAATAATATATAAAAATGAACGAATTGTTATAAATCGATGATCAAATCATTTACTCCAAGAAGAGTTCCAAGAATTAACACCTATCGAAAAGATATTACACAACACTCCGAAACTGAGTAAGCATCGTCCATTTTGTAGAAGTATAAAGTGGAGGGTATTCATAGTAGAGGTTAAATGGTAGAGCACCTCCACATACTTTGTGTATTGGTTGTCGCGACGAAGTTAGTCATTTTTCAACGACAGTTTGAATCTATAGGAAAGCGTGCAGTATCAAAAGGTTCCATTTTTTACCTATCTTTGCCTCTCTACTTATTTGCATGACTTGTGTTCTTCATCCTAAGCCAAATAATTTTGTGCACTAATACTTTGTAGGCTCCTCAGTCCCAAGATTTCACCGATCAAGCAAATGGGAAAGCAAGTTTTATATGAAACATGCATCCTAGTAAAAACGGTACATCGAAACCAATCATAAAGCAATGAACTTGCAAACAGGGTTTCTCTCAAAGAAGAAAAAAAAATTAGCATTTTTGGTACACAACTGAGTGTGAGTGTGATACTGTTATTGCTGGTAATAGTCCTTGTGTTTGTGTTTGAAGGGCCATCTATAACATTCTGGTGGCAGTACCCCGTTGGATCGTCTCCGTGCAGGGTCTAAGCAGTAATCATATATCATGTATTTCTGGCAGATTTCCCTAAGCTTGGTCGACTGAGAAGCACTTGGCTGTGCATGAACTGGAGAAGCCCACCAGTGCGATAGTGTTATTGCTGGTAGCAGTGCTTGTGTTTGTGTTAGCATTCTGGTGGCAGTACCCCGTTGGGTCTACGTGTAGGGTCTAAGCAGTAATCATATATCATGTATTTCTCGCGGATTTCCCCAAGCTTGGTCGACTGAGAAGCACTTAGCTGTGCATGAATTGGAGAAGTCCACCAGTTTGTTGGGGAGTTTGAGGCACATTGGCTAATGCTGACCTCTCCATTCCAGGGACAAGCTCTTGGCCTAAAGCGGCGAAAGCTAGCCGTGAACGGTGCGCTGGCCCAGTTGGTTTTCACGCGCCCTCCTTGAGTTGCCCAATCCTGTGCATTCCACAAACTGGTATATAACCTCATACCTTGCTTGTTAGGGAAGGCTGTTTTTTGCTTCGGGGCATTCTCGTAGTTCCGGAAAATTCTAATTGGAATACTATCAATATACCACCTGAAATCATCCAGATCACATCATGTTCTTATTGGGATCAATTTTCACCCTATGCTTTTAAGTTGATCAAATTTTCACTTACACAACAGCATTAGGATTCCAGTGAATTGTGTAGTTGTGGAAATCAGCAGCGGGGTCGAACCACGGTCGAAACTGCTGTTCTCTGTCTCCCACACCCTGAACGAATATGTTTGTATGAATGGTATAAGGCTCTCCAGTGGCATTCCCCAAGAACTCAAAGTCTACCTCATCATGATGGCTACCTTCAGAAGATAGCTGCAAAAATTTTAAGATGAAGAATAAGCACCAGAAAAACTCTGTAATCTATGTAGATTGGTCAGGTATTTTTTGAGCATTGAACCATACATAAAATGCCGTTACTAATCCCGCAGAATCTCCTGGAACGAACTTGATCTGAGCTTCAAAGCTTCCAAAAAGGAAATATCTCTTTGACTTTGCTCCCGAGCCTGCAACAACAGAATCATTCTTGGCGGTCAAAGGTAAGTACTGTATGAATTTGTTCATTTTGCACATTCACAGTTCTGAGAAGCATGGAGATATGATCAAGAAAGCAAGAAATGACATCATTTCACCTGAGCTTTGGTCCAGAACAAGCTGAAGGTCGTCCCCTTCTATTTTGGACTGACTATTTCCCCAGAATAGGGCCATGTTTTTTGACGTCATGGCATCAACTACCATGTGATAAGACACAATCACACACACCAAAAATGCTATTGAAAGAGATTGAAACCCTGCCATTTCAACCCCAATATCAGGAAGCTCTTTTTGTCTTCCTAATTTGTGGGATTGGAATGGGATGTTTCAAAGATTCAAGTTTCTGATCGCTTTATAGCTTGCCTATCCTCGTCTATTATTAGACATTGGCTATTTTTATCTTTAATTTCCTGAATAAGAGCTATAATTGTATGAATTAAGACTATAGTAAAGTTGAAAAGGTCGTTGGTTGCCATGATAGAATCCGGTTTTTTCTATTAAAAGAGCATGGGGTATAATGCTAAGGAAGTATGAACTATATGATATGAATTCTCAAAGATTGATGTTTTTATTCTTACTCGGAAGAACAAATTTTTGATCTAGTTGTTCAAATTATGAACTTGGGTTTATATCATTGAAATTTCGTGATATTAATAAAATAGAATTTTAGGAAGATTAAAATGATATTTTAATTTTTTTTTATTTTTTATATATATATAAAAACAGATATTTCAGTTGACAAACACAATTTTGAGTTCTGAAATAACTGAACAGAGAATCAGCTGAAACAACTGAACAGAGAGACTGCGGAAGAAGATGATCGGGGATGTAGAGAAAATGGTTGCGATCGGTATAGTCTGGGGCGCCACCAATGCACTGATGCGCCGTGGCGCCCTTCTCTGGGACCAAGCTCTTAAATCTTCGTCCAATGCAACCCGCTCTTCAAACAAACTCCTCTCCTCCCTCCGTCGATGGCTCAAGCTCCTCTCGATCTGGCAGTATACTGTCCCTTTTTTGGTTAATCTCACCGCCTCAGCTACTTTCTTTGCCATTCTAAGCGATGCCCCAATATCGCTCGCCGTTCCGGTCACTAACGCCACAACTTTTGCTGCCACCGCTGTTTTCGGAATGCTTCTTGGCGAGGAAACTCGTGTCGGGTACGCTCTGTTTGGTACTGCTCTGATTGGGTTGGGCGTATGGCTTTGCATTAACTAATTCCGATTTGTGAATTGGAGAACTTAGATTTGGAGTTTAGTTTGTAATTGATTTGCGTATCATTCTAGGGTTTTATCGCTGCGATTGTAATTTTCCTCATTCCGAGATGCTTGATATGAATGTCCAAAGGGTACCGTTGAAAAATACTCTGTGATTAAATGAGTGATCGGGCGTTGGGTTGTATTTGGTCTCTTCAAATTCCAAATTAATTTGTATAATGCCCTGAAAAAGGGCTGCTTGCTCCCTCCGCTTGTTTCCATAACTTGTTTTCTTCGTCCTAAGTCAAGTTCTTTTTGTTGAGAATTATTGAAAGGAGTAGTCTTACTTGTTTCCATAACTTGTTTTCTTCGTCCTAAGTCAAATTCTTTTTGTTGAGAATTATTGAAAGGGGTAGTCTTCCGTTGCCAAAAGCAAAACTATGGGAGCTTATGTTCAAAATAGACAATATCATACCATTATGGAAAGTCGTGGTTCCTTACACTTTGGTGCACTTATACTTTGTAGAGCTCCTTGCATAACACGAGTAGCTTCTTGGCCTAGAGAGTGGACTGTATTTTTGCCAAACTCTTTGGTTATGGGTTCCGGGTCTAATAGATAGAGACGAAGAGTAAAGTTTGTCGAGCTCCTCAGTTGTAAGGCTTACATAGATAAAGCAACAGGAAAGCAAGTTTTATATGAAACATGTCAATCATTTTGGAACATGGTAAACACGTATATCAAAACAATCAGAAAGCTATGATCCCACATAAAGGAACCAAGCAAGAAAAGGAGAACTGATCTCTGAAAGAAGAAAAATGAACATTTTTGAAACACAGCCGAGTGCCATATTGTTATTGTTGGTAGTATTGCTGTTCTGAACACTGCATTAGCTGTTACGCAACATTGTGTTAGAACTGTCTTCTATAACATTCTGGTGGCATTTGCCCATTGAACCGTTTAGTGTCTTTGCAGTAATCATATATCATGTAGTTCTGCTGGATTTCATTAAGCTTAGCCAACTGAGGAGCACTGAGCTGTGCATAAGCTGGAGAAGTCCACCAGTTTGCTGGGGACTTAGCGGCACATTGACTAATGCTGGCTACTCCATTCCAGTAACAAGCTCTTGGCCTAAAGTGGCGAAAGCTAGCCGTGAATGGTGCGTTGGCCCAATTGGTTTTCACGCGGCCTCCTTGAGTTGCCCAATCATCTGCATTCCACAAGCTGGTATATACCCTCATACCTTGCTTGTTAGGGAAACCTATCCTTTGCTTTTCGTAGTTCCGGAAAACTCTTATTGGGATACCATCAATATACCACCTGACATTAGCACACACACTTGTTATGTTCTATCCCCAAGCAAATTGTTTAGTTCTTTAAAGCTGAACTTCAAATTTTTTTTCCAGGATATTAATTCTCACTTACACAACAGCATTAGGATTCCAGTGAATTGTGTAGTTGTGGAAATCGGTGGTGGGGTCAAACCACAATCGAAACTGCTGTTCTCTGTTTCCAACACCCTGAGTGAATATGTTTGTATGAATGGTGTAAGGCTGTCCTGAAACATTCCCCAAGAACTCATAGTCTATCTCATCATGAGCTGAACCTGTAGAAGATAGCTGCAAAAGTTCCAAGGTCAAGAATGAGCACCACAAAACTTATATATATATTTGTAACATCATCTCGATCGATGTTGTGTCGTGTGAGATTTAGCCTTGAACCGTACATAATACGCTGTTACTACTCCTGCAGAATCCCCTGGAACGAGCTTGATGAGAGCTTCAAAGCTTCCAAATAAGAAATCTCTCTTCGACTTCGCTCCCGAGCCTGCAACAACAGAATCATTCTTGCTGGTAAAAACTAACGACTTGATGAACTTGTTTATTGCATACAAGAAAACAAGAAAGCAAGAAATGATATTATTTCACCTGTGCTTTGGTCCAAAACCAGCTGAAGGCTATCCCCTTCTATTTTGGACCGACTATTTCCCCAGGTTATGGCCATGTTCTTTGAAATATTGGCATCAACTACAATGTGATTAGACACAATCACACACACCAACAATGCTATAGAAAAAGACTGAAACTTCGCCATTTCAGTCCCAATATCAGGAAAGCTTCTTTTCTGGGATTGAAATGGGACGATTTGAAACTTCAAGCTAATGCTTGCTTTATATAGCTTGCCTTTCTTTGTTCATTGCAAGACATTGGGTTTTCTAATCATTAATTAGCAGAAGTCAGAGCTACAAATATATATATGAATTACAGCTTTGCAAACTTGAGGATTGAAAGTTGGAAAGGTCCCCTGCGTTGACATCATAGAATTTGGTATTTTTTTCTCTTCTTCCTTTGAATGTATAGCAACAATGTGCGTGCATGTTTTGATGGCCTTCTGTTCGTGAATTATAATTTGTTTGTTCAAATGGTTTAGAAAGCGTGTGGAGCCATCAACTTGATAATGGCATGAAGCATAATGCTGAAGAAGGTATGAACTACGAATCGTTCCACGAAAATTTTAGTTTATGTATGTTTATTATCGATCATGTTGAACTCTTCAATGTTACATATCAACGAATATCTTGGCTATATTTCTATTCTATTATTAATATCAGTTTGTTTTCATTAAGTTCTACAAAATAAATAAATGGGCCAGAACAATTACACAAAGTCTCACTTATATTAAATTGATAGACTAAAATTCATCTAAAAGCTTTCATTAATTAGTGTCAATTGAAATAATATTGAATTAATAATTAATGAATAAAGGTCGTGGGTTGGTGTAATGCAATTTATGCTGTGGGTTGCCAGCTAAGCTTTTGAATTGATATCTATATATCATATTATTATATATATTCATACTCAACAATGTTCATCGTGCATAATATATATTTTTTTCTCATAACAATTCACAAACTTAAAATCTTTTTTTGTTCTTTGGCTCAAGAAGAATGTTCCCTTGCAACCAAACCTACCATCCGTTGCCGTGCTTATAATTAGAGATGTCCATTACCTTAACGGAAATAGATAATGGGAGAGAGTGGAGACGAAAATGACATAATTTTTTTTATTATATATTTTAAAATGTTGTATTTACATTAAAAATGAGTGTATTTAAAGTTATTTTAATTTAAAAGTCATTATATTTGGTTTAAATACTTTTTAAAAAATGGAAGTTAATTTTACGTAGAAACTTGATGTTCGTGAAATAATCTCCTTGTAATGGAAGACGGGAACGGGGATGCCATTCCCTACCCGTAATTTAAACAAAAAAAATCAAATTTTGGGACAATAGAGCATAAAAAAAATCCTTAGGTCACAGATGATTTATGGAATCTGTTAGTTGGGCATAATTGTATTAAAGTAATGTGTTTGAAGAAGGTGAGTTGTCTTGGGCATAATTATATAAAGGCGATACCCTAATTGAAGGAGAAGGAGAAGGCCTTCTACTTTTCTTCCTCAAACCTCAAAGCTGTGCATGATAGAAGATGTGTGTCTGTTCTTTTCGATCTTTATTTCTTTAGGCTGAGATCTCACCTATGTTTCTTTCGTTCGATTCAAACATTATCTAATCTCGTAATTGAAAGTGTATGTTTTATGTCAGTTAATTTGAGATGATTTGGTTGAATGAGTATGGATAGATCGAAGATTTAAAATCCTACCAGTTTCTTTGGCCACCAAATGTAATAGGAATAAATAGCTTTCCTATTAAAATGGTCTAGACAAAGTTTAGTTATAGTATGAAATAATGGAAAATTACCCAGAGACGTATAGAACCAACTCAAGGTTCTGGCTCGTTATTTAGACGCGTATATCTTAGTATGTTGTATAATTCGATTCATAGTTCCGAGAATGTAACAAAAAGATTCATGGGCATTCAACAAACATCACGTATATATATCAATATAACCTCAAATATTTTGATGCTTGTTAGAAATATAGTGTGTATGAAAACTTTAGTCTATGCACAAACATACATACAACAATAATCTCATGAGAGATATAAAAGGAAATAGGGAAAATGCTCTGAAGGGGTTTAGATTATTGAGAGTCTAAGTTCCAAGTCCAGTTCTTGGCTGTCACATGCTTCACAATTTTCACCCATTTCTTGCCTTCTGCTCTGTGCTGCCCACTGCACATAATCATCACTATCATACTCTAAATCACAACAACATAAAGGAAAGGCAGACCATAATATGGAGCTCACAGTACCTCTGCTTGTGGGTCTTGAAGATGAGATGTCATGTTTGGGTGTGCAAAATGTTGGGCTTCTAAGATGCCACCATTACTTGGATCCCATCTGTTCCCCACCAATCAAATCTTCTTACATTATTTCAAATTTGTTCATACCTTAAACGTTTGTAATTAAATTAAAGTGTTGCTTAATTAAGTGTATATAATGACCTTGCTCCTGTGCTATGCTGAGAATCACCATCTCTCACCCTCCTTCCTTCACATTCTCCAAACCCCATCTGCATTAACAGTTAAAGATCCCATTTTTATTACATTTTAATGTAATTTCTCCATAATTTTTGGAGGGAAAATGAAAAAATTGGTAAATAGTTTGGGATCTTGCTCTAGGGTTTTTAAACCTATAAGATAATCAACTAACCCCATAGTTAAGTTACTTACCATAACATACGGTGAGGAAGAACTAGACACCGGTGAATATCTATGGACGTTCGTTAGCTCATGTTCCTGAAATAATAATTAAAGTCAACTTAAATATAGCTCAACTGATAAATTGAAAAAGAAACTTTTAAAAGAGTTACGTTATTGAATGTATAAGAAGTGGGATGAAAAGCAGCAGAAGCAATTTCGCCATGCAATCTGATCTTCTCAAGCTGAGCAACTCCAAGTCCTCTCTGGGGCTGCCTTGGCTGCTTATCAGAGCCACCCTTCTTCCCTCGTCTCGACGAAGACGACGACGACGATGACGACGATCCAGTCCCTCGTTCGTTCCCCAAACTCGGCTCCCTATAATAACCACTCCCCATTAACAACAACTTCTTGAACCGAAGAAGAAGAAGAAGAAGAAGAAGAAGAAGAGGATTAGGTAAGGATCTGAAAACTGGAATCCTTTAAGCCAGTTTTTGAAAACAAATATATAAATAAATAAATAAATAAAAACGAATGATGCATAGCTGGATGAGATTGCGTTAAGATTTTGAGTGCATTAATAATATAATTTTAACTTTTAATATTATATATTCCTTGCAAACTTCATCTCTTTTCTTTCTTTTTCTTAATTAATTATTTATTTTATTTTCCATTTTAATACGCATTTTTCCGACTTTCTTGACTACAACTTGAAAGCGATCGTCTTAGATTTTCCTAATTTATTTAATTTCCCTCTAATTTATTTAATTTTATGTTAATGTATGCTCTTATTTCCCCCCCCCCCCATGTGCCACGTCATCCTACCAAAAACATATATATTCCCTCATGCTATTTCTTTATTTTCAAAAATATTTATTTAAGAATTGAAACTTAATATCTTAATGTTTTCATTCAATTTTTTATTTATTTTTTAATGAAATAAAATTGTTGGGTCATTAATTGCATGATTTAAGAATTGAAACTTTAAGCTGGATTAGTAAAGTTAAAATAGAGTACAAAACTTTTCTTACTTTTCACTTATTTATTTATTTTAGTCAACATTCAGTTATTTAATTAATGAATAATTATCATAGCTATAAAATATTTAAATGTTGAGACACTCAATCTTTCATTATTTATTATAACTTGCAAAATAATTATCATAACAAGTTTGAAAATTTATAATTTATAATTACTCCTCCTACCCTTCGATGCTTACCTAATCAATATTTAAGTACATCAATATTTACTTCACACCTCTTCCGATTTATTTTAATATTATAATCTGTTAAGAATGAAAAATAAAATTGAGAAAAGAATATTAAGATATAACATCTAAGATATATTCTATAACTAATATATTTTTTAAATATTATATTTCAAAATTAAAAAAAAGGACAAAGAATGATGGGACGTTTTTTAAAAGCAATGAATGGTATGGGGCAGAAAAAATAAAAATCTGGGTCCTAAGTTTTCACGTTTTATTTTCATATTCCGTTTGTGAATAATGATAATAATAATAATAATAATGTTAAATTTATAACGTAAATTAATGGGAGAAAAGGATAATCCAGCTGTAAGGGGTGTGTGTTGTTAATGATTAGGGAACCCTAATGCCAAATGGTGTATTAGATGACAAAGATCCTACAAATCTGATTTTGTAGCCCCCGAGGGATTGTCCTCCTTCATTATCAATTTTTAATTTATAATATATTATAAGAATTTATTATAAAAATAATATTAAAGAGACATAGAATAATTATTTTTTAAAAAAATGATTGGTTCATTGTGACATATATTAATTTCTCGTCATACGATGTTAGCTTATAAGATTAAATTTGTCTACCATATATATATGTGTGTAAGTATGTATTTGTGCGTTGGAAAGTAAAAAGATTTGGGGCTTTGAAAAGGGGAGCATGTGACTGACTTACCGAGCTTAATTCTCTACCTAATCCTCTAAACGATATCTTATTATTATTATTATTTTTTTAAGCGTAACAAATGTGAGATTAAAAAAAGTTAAATCACTAGAAAAAATTTAATTATATTAATACTTTAAGCGTAACAAATACGAAACATTCTATTATGATATCATATTAAATTATCAATTAATTAAAAATTTTAATTATATCAATACTTTAACTATAATATTAAATTTTCTAAATGTGGGTATGTCGCATTTTAATATTTATGGAGACGAATGGAAAATGGGTTTAAATTATTAAAAAAATGGGAACAAAATTATTTGGGAATGTGAAGTTATTGAACTTATGTAGATATGTGAATCTTGATTATTATTATTTTATATATATGTATGTGAAGTTAGGGTTTGGCATTAAAATTAAGTTTGGGACCACTCTGATTAAGCCTTGGAAAACAAGATTTAAGTGAAAGAAAATTGGTTTCAAATTTAAATAAATAAACAATTCAGATTTGAAGATATTAATGTAATTTTAAATAAAGAAAATGGAGTGTTTGATTTAATCTATAATTATGTGAGTGAGGGTGAGATTAATTAAAGGGCTGATTGGATTCCAAACGCTTTGAAACATTATTTAATTAATGGTTAATCGCCTAATTATGTATTTTATGATTAATTATGCTTTTTTGTTGTCCACACCTTATTTATTTCACAATCATTTTATTTTGCCTTTTCATGTTGTTCATAATCCGTACATAATACCCAAATTAATTACTTTCTCATTATCCAATCATCCATATTTAATTTTAACTGTGGTATTTTTTTGACTTTTATTTTCATATATAATATATTTAAGATAATTATAAAATACAAGAAGATACTATTATATTCCTCGCTTGGTTAGTTGCAATCTATTTAAATTTTAAAATATTTGTTTTCGGTTACGTAAATTTGAATATTAGCACAAAGCTCAACACGTGATTTATGAATATAAAATGGAAAGAAGATTTGAACTCTAATATCGTATTAAACCATTAATTAAATTTATGGACGTAATCAATTGTATAATGGTTTATAAAATGTGAAAAAAAAAATGTTTAGACTAAGTTTGTAATTTTAAAAGTTGAAAAGGGTAAATTTGTAATTTAAGTGAATTCGTCTCTTATCGAGTTGCTTCATTTGGGTGATCCAATGAACAGAAGAATTGAAACGGGCTTGAAGGATGGGTTGAAATTCAATACACAAATGACCCAATCTTGCAATCCAGACCGCCATGAACAGACCGAGAGAAGTGAAGATGGTCCATCAACGGAGCGTTCATGTAGGAGCCAGAGAACAATCGCTACCAGATAAGGATTTAAAGCAGCACCGTTCATTACCCTCACCATTATATTCATGGAATAGCTTCTTATCACACACTTCTCTCGCTATTTTCCTTTTGTTTCTCCCCATTTCCAACATTCCAAACCCACAAATTTTGTTTTCTATTACTCTTTCTCAGGTACTCAATTCTGTACTCTGCTCAAATGCCTCACTGCTTTTCTCTGCCTTCCTTGATTTCTCATTCCTACAAATTATCACTTAAATTTGTATGCGTATTCCTGTTCTTTCTGTTTTTGAGTTCGTCTTAGGAAATTGAGTTCTAATGCTTATGGAAGTTTCTGTTGGGAATGTCCACTTCTTTGGTATTTATCTGCTACGAATTATTTCCAATTCTCAACTCTAATTACTCCTGTTGCTCAATCACAAGGATAATTATGTTAGCCTAACTTTGGCGAGCTTTAATCATTCTTAATCTTAACCTCTGCCAAGCCATTCTCTTATTAAACGAATTCTTGATTTAGCTTAGATGTTGAGTATTTATGTGTGTTAATATGCCTCTCTGAAATTTGATCATGGAGAATTGTTGTGTGTAAATTGTGATGCTGTCAATGATGTTTGCAGAGGAAAACAAGGATGAAGAACTAACAACGGGAAGGGGCCCTTCTCCCTACACTTGATACGTTAGCTTTCTTGACATAACACGATGTCAGTAATAACTCCGTCTTCTATCACCAATGTTTCAGTTGTTCGTATAGCCAACCACACGGGGAAGAGCCATGGTTCAACAAGATTCACCTTTTCTAGAAACTCCACTAGAGATACACTTCATAACCAAAGATTTCTTTTACCCTTATCCACTTCTGTTAGGCTGTTTCCAAATTGTAGTAAAAATTTATTTTGTAATCATTGCCGTGGAATCCCAAGATTATGTGCTTCAGGAACTGAAGTGGCAGTGGAGGAGTCAGATTCATTGGTTTCTGGTGAAGAATCAAGTCAAAGCTCAGAACTTACATCTGGTGAAATCACAACAAATGAGAAAAGCCCTGTGAAATCAGATGCTGCTCCTACACAGTCAAAACGTTTGAGACCTGTGAGGAAGAGTGAGATGCCGGCTGTAAATAATGAGGAACTTATTCCTGGTGCAACTTTTACTGGGAAAGTAAGATCAATTCAACCATTTGGTGCCTTTGTTGATTTTGGAGCATTTACTGATGGCTTAGTACATGTATCAAGGTTGAGTGATAGTTTTGTTAAGGATGTTGCAAGTGTTGTTTCAGTTGGGCAAGAGGTGAATGTAAGATTGATTGAAGCAAATGCTGAGACTGGACGAATATCGCTCTCGATGCGTGAAAATGATGAAAGGAGAGAGTCTCCTGCTAGCAATGATAAACCTGGGTCTGCCAGAAGGGACACTCCAAAACCAAGAGGACCAAGGAGAAATGAGGTGAAGAAAAGCTCAAAGTTTGTCAAGGGGCAAGATTTACAGGGTACAGTGAAAAACATTACCAGGTCCGGTGCTTTCGTATCCCTTCCCGAGGGAGAGGAAGGATTCCTCCCCGTTTCCGAGGAAGCCTCCGAAGGATTTGGGAATCTTATGGGAAACTCTACTTTAGAAATTGGCCAAGAGGTCGATGTTAGGGTGTTGCGGATTGCAAGAGGGCAGGTAACTTTGACTATGAAAAAAGAGGAAGATAATGAAACGTTAGACGCTCAGCTCAATCAAGGGAAAGTTTATGCTGCAACAAACCCCTTCTTGTTAGCATTTCGTAAGAACAAAGATATTACTACATTTTTAGATGAGAGGGAAAATGTGGAGGAAGAAGCTAAAAAATCTGTGGTACAGAAGGTTGCAGAAATTGTAGAAGGGATGGTTGATGCAGATCAAACCCGAGCTGATGATTCCACCAAAGTGATAGATGATGTACTAAGTGATGACAAGGAGGAGGAAAGTCTGCCTTCTGTTAAAGATGATGAACCTGCATGTTCAGCTGATTCATATGCTGCGACTCTAGATGACTCGGAGAGTATATTATCTACATTAGAAGACGTAAAGCCCTCAGAAGACGAGCAATCTGAAGAGGTCCAGGTGGTTGAGGCTGCTCAACCTATAGATGGACCTGAGTTTGATGGGAAAGTAGTCGCCCCTGATGATGAAGCCAAAAAAATAGTGTCTTCAGAAAGTCCAGTTAGTGAAGAACTTGTGGCTAGTGAAGACAGTGTGGAGAAAGAAAGTGAGCAAAGCCAGAAAGATGTGGAAAATGAAATTATTTCTGCTTCTCCATCCGAAAAGGAAGCGGATAAACCAGAATCGGATTCGAATGGTAGCATCACGAACTTAGGTAAAGGTATAATTCTAGAAACATGAGGTTGAGGAAATTTTGGAAATGATAATCTGTATTTGCAATAATTCATAGAATAAGGAATAGCGTCATATGTATATGGCTAACTGTTGATCAAATCCAATCTTCTGTAGATCCAGCTCGTGAAGAAGTTGTTGAGGATCAAGCCGACATTCAAGCACCTGCTGAAAGCCCTGAAATCCTTTCATCTACACCAGTTATAGAAGAAAAGATAGGAACCGCTCCTGAGAACAATGCTGATCCTCCAGAAGAAGTTGCACCAAAAGGTTATTTTATGCTTCATTTAGGATGGTTCAAGATATTTGGTAGCTATTTGATGCTCAAAACTTTTATAAGTAGTCATGAAGGGTCATTAAAATAAGGGATATCACCCTGTATGGTTTTCAATCTAAGAATAACTGGTAGAGCAATTGAATGCTTTCACTTGATCTCCCATGTTGGCTTTACTTGATTGATGTTGGCCACCTGCAACCAGCTTTATTTAATCTTTGAGTGTCTGTTGTGTTGCAGCTGTGATATCACCAGGTTTGGTAAAGCAGCTTCGTGACGAAACTGGTGCAGGAATGATGGATTGCAAAAAAGCTCTGGCGGAGAGTGGAGGCGACATTGCTAAAGCTCAGGAGTTCCTCAGAAAGAAAGGCTTAGCAAGTGCAGAAAAGAAAGCTAGTAGAGCCACAGCTGAAGGAAGAATAGGTTCCTATATTCATGACGGTAGGATCGGAGTTCTAATAGAAGTGAACTGTGAAACAGATTTCGTCTCGAGAGGAGATATCTTCAAGGAGTTGGTTGATGATTTAGCAATGCAAGTTGCAGCATGCCCTCAAGTACAATATGTGGTTACTGAAGATGTTCCAGAAGAGATAGTGAACAAAGAAAGAGAGGCCGAGATGCAGAAGGAAGATCTTTTATCGAAACCCGAGCAGATCAGGTCGAGAATTGTTGAAGGACGGATAGGGAAGAGGCTTGAAGAGTTGGCATTGCTTGAACAACCATATATCAAGAATGATAAGGTGGTGGTGAAGGACTGGGTGAAACAAACTATTGCAACCATTGGAGAAAACATGAAGGTCAACAGATTTGTGAGATACAATCTTGGAGAAGGCTTGGAGAAGAAAAGCCAAGATTTTGCTGCTGAGGTAGCCGCACAGACAGCAGCTAAACCTGCTGCAACTCCAGCAGTCAAAGAGGAGCAGCCCAGTGTAGAGGAAGCGAAGGAAGCTGTTCCCAAGTAAGCGGCCTTCTCTTAATGTATCGTTTTCAGTGAGCTTTTCTGTTTACATTCCACTCTTGTAATGAAAGCTAAGACCTGTTCTCTTTGAACTGATACTAAAGTCAATGGCTGCATTATAGGGCTGCAGCTGTCGCCGTTCCTGCAGCGCTTGTTAAGAAACTCCGAGAAGAGACCGGAGCAGGAATGATGGACTGTAAGAAAGCCCTGTCTGAAACTGGTGGGGATCTAGAGAAGGCACAAGAGTATCTAAGAAAGAAAGGCCTCTCGAGCGCGGATAAGAAGTCTAGCCGTCTAGCAGCTGAAGGAAGAATTGGATCCTACATTCATGACTCCCGTATTGGTGTTCTAATTGAAGTGAACTGTGAAACCGACTTCGTGGGGAGAAACGAAAGATTCAAAGAGTTAGTTGACGACCTCGCAATGCAGGTTGTGGCATGTCCAGAGGTGCAGTATGTGTCCATAGAGGACATTCCAGAAAGCATTGTTAAAAAAGAAAGAGAACTTGAGTTGCAGAGGGAGGACCTTCAGAAAAAACCAGAGAACATAAGGGAGAAAATAGTTGACGGGCGGATTTCCAAGAGGCTGGGAGAACTTGTGCTTTTAGAACAACCGTTCATTAAGGATGACAGTATTTTGGTCAAGGACTTGGTAAAGCAAACTGTTGCCTCTCTTGGTGAGAACATAAAAGTTCGTAGATTCGTTCGTTTCACCATTGGCGAGACGGTCACAAATTCGAGCGAGAAATCCAAACCATGAACCGAGAAAAACAGAATACCTACCGAGCATTGAGGCAAAGCTAGACATGAAATCATGGTAGCAGTAGAGAAGAATGTGAAGCCAAGGTAAAACTTTGTGTGGAAAGAAACTTGAATGTTCATTTTCCTCTCGTTTTTTTTGTAGCAAAGAGTTGAGTTTTCCTGAAACGCTGCTTGGTAGCATCATTTTGATCTAAAAGATTATAAAAGCTTCATTCATATAATTCTCTGCTTGGTTATCATATTCATTTATTTCACATCATCTGAATTGTTTGAATCCTCGTTTATAGTTTTTACTTCGTTTAGAACGACCTTCTAAGTACTTATAAACGAAATGGACGAATGTAAAAGGTATCAGTATAATCTGAGTCTCTTTTGGAAGGGTGAGAATTGGCACAGCAAACAAACCATTTACAATAGAAAGAGAAGTGTAGCCACAACAACCAAAGTAGAATCACAAACTAAGAAACTGTGAATCGTCCTATAGAAAATCGTCTTTGCCAACAAACAAGTTATCTTGATACATCAACTCTCCAATATTTAGAACTCATGCACAGAGAAGAAGAAGGAACAATACTCGTAAAGATTCTCTCGATCGATCTAAGCTTTCAGTAGGCAGATTATACGTTATCTTCAAACATCATTTGCTCTAACGTGCATGATTGATGCATCGATATGGCAGAAGTGTTTGCTAGTTACGATTTCTGCACTTCTCCATGGCCCTTGGAGCTGCAAGGAAACGAAAAGAGAGAAAAGGGGAATCTTTTACTAATGGGTCACACTAGAAAGGAATTTTTTCTGATTCTATCTTTATAAGACATTGCTCAATCCATATCAGGAATTAGCATCCTTGTAATGGAAAATGACCTAAGCATCCGATTATGATGAACCTTGAAGAAAGATCCGATCATAATGGAATTTAAACTGCTGTGTTTTTATTTGTTAGATCTTTTTCTTTATGAAAATGAGAGATGCTAAGTAATGTTGATCAAAAGAAAAGGGTTTTGAAGTGGACAGATAATGATGGTAACTAAGAGAGCACTAAACAAAGGCCAAGATTCTCAAATGCTTATAATCATGGAGGTGAAGTCCCACTAAACTTGTCTGATAAATTTAGTAAAGTCCATAGCAGAGCATACCTAACCCAATTGCTTCTGAACTCTTCATGATCCTCATCCTTGTGCAAGATTCAGTGAACATCCTATTATGTAACAACAAGATGATTACTATGAAACCTTCTTTTAGCAGTCATTTAGAGATTGAAACGAGGTTTTGTTGAATGAATAATGAACTTACTCCCATGGAACATCACCAACCAGCATCCAATCACCATCCTTATCTTCATAGGTGAGTACATATTCAGAGCCATGGAGCAGATCCATCAATCGGCTCTCATTTAATGCATCCCGGTTTGGGAATCCATTTGAGCCACAATGACCTGACATAACAAAAACCTTGCTTGAAAGCCAAATTTAAACACTTAAGATGTGCAGGAGTAGCTTGAAAGAGCATACCAATTGTGAAGCTGCTAAACATTTTCTCGAGGGCTGATGAGAGGTCCACATAGCTTCCATAGGTTTTCAGATCAACTTTCCTGAGGTATGGTGCGCCATCCATACTTACCTTCACATAAAGGCAGCCCGATCCCGACTTACCCTCTGCATCCTCTGTAGTTTTAGGAGACTGTGTTGCCATGGAATTCTTACGGAACGAACGAATTGGTGGCCATCCTACAACTTGTGCCCTGTACCAGACGTGATAAAGGACTTGAGATTTTTCTAGTAAGAAGACAAAATCAGAAATGGAAGAAGACATACTTGGCAGCAGGGGCAGAGAGCTGAGGCTTTTCCTCATGCAGTGGCTTGGCCGACGGAGAAATACCATCTTTAACACCGGAGACAGCCGAAACAGGGGGTTGAGTCTTATTTTCATTAACGCCTCTGGGAGAGAACAGACCCCCATTTTTGGGGGAATCGGCTTCAGATCCGGCAGAGGTGGGCAGAACCCACTTAGCAGAAGCTCTGTCAATGGCAACAGAGAAGCCCCTCTTAGCCCCGGAAATGGAGGTTTTGTGAGGGTACCCATTATTGTCGTCAAGCCCATCGTGCCTCTCCGGTGACTCGGACCCAGGTAGGCCTAACCTGAGTTCAGTAGCCTTAAGGTTCAAGCCAGCAGAGTTGGGTCCATCGGAGGAGGTTTCAGAGGTTTCCAGGGAAGGAATAGACTCTGTTAAGCCTATGTAATCATGTTCTAAGGGTGTAGACATGAGAAAGAGATGAAAGTCAAGATGAATATACAAAAAACATGAACACAGAGCAGAGATTGGATGGAAATGGAAGAGAAGTGAAGGGAAAAGAACAGAGAGAAAGAAGGCAAATAAATAAAGAAAGAAACAGAGAGAGTAGCAGGAAAGGCATCGTAAAAGAGAAAAAAAAAAAAAAGGATTTTATATTTAAATTATTTATAATAGGATGTAGCTTTTTGTGGGGAACCACCCCGACAAGTCACAGAAAGTCTCCGTCCACCTTTCCCAAATTGCCCTTTTCTTTAATAAAAAAAGAAAATTCCTTCTGTGAGCTTATGGGGTTGTGCCTTTTTTTCTTCATCTCTTTATTACCCCAAACCCCATGAAACTGGAAAACAAAGAAAAAACCGCTAACCTGCGCCGAGGGACAGCATTAAAACAGTGCAAATTGAAAGCAGCGTTACAGGGGAAGGAATGCGGAAAAGGATAGCACGGGGCAGATTGTGTAAGAACTCGCCAGATTTTCAAGCCCCATCACAAGATTGTTTTGGCCGCTTTGTTGTCTGCAACAGATCAAATTTAAATATATATATATTTATAGTGGACGTTAGAGGAACACTATTCTCCACAATGGTATGATATTGTCTACTTTGAGCATAAACTCTCGTGACTTTACTTTGGGCTTCCTCAAAAGGTCTCACACCAATAGAGAAAGTATTCATTGACTATAAACTCATGATTATTCTCTAAATTAGTTAACGTGTGACTTTTATCATCCAACAGCAAAAAATAAAGGAATTTTGAGAAAGCCGCTCACATTAACACACGCTACCCATTTAGGGTTTAGGGTTTAGAGCGATTCAGAGTTTAAGATTTAGGGTTTAGGGTTTAGAGTGATTCAGGATTTAAGATTTAGAGCGATTTAAAGGTTTAAGATTTAGGGTTTAGAGCCATTCGTGGCTTAAGATTTAGGGTTTAGAGCAATTTATGGCTTAAGATTTAGGGTTTAGGGTTTAGAGCAATTTATGGTTTAAGATTTAGGGTTTAGGGTTTAGGGTTTAGAGCGATTCAGAGTTTAAGATTTATGGTTTAGGGTTTAGAGTGATTCAGGATTTAAGATTTAAGGCAATTTAAAGGTTTAAGATTTAGGGTTTAGAGCAATTCATGGCTTAAGATTTAGGGTTTAAGGTTTAGAACAATTTAGGGTTTAGAGCAATTTAGGGTTTAAGATTTAGGGTTTAGGGTTTAGAGCGATTCAGGGTTTAAGATTTAGGACTTAGATCGATTCTTGGTTTAAGATTTAGGGTTTAGGGGGTAAGGGATGTTTTTCATACACCAATTCTTCCTCCAATTTCTGCAATTAACCACTTTTTTTTTTTTTTTAATATTAGAATTTTGAAAGGAAAAAAAAGGTGGTGGAAAGGGAAGTAACCGGGAAAGGATGGGTTGGTGGGGGACAAAACGGCGTTATGTTGTGAAGTCTAAACCACCACCCTCCCCGTTATATCCCCCTTGCCACCCCACCCAAAATAACACCATTGTTTTTTAATTAATTTGGAGAGAAAAATAAAAATAAAAATAAAGGAAAGGAGGGAGGACCCAGAAAGGAATGGGGTGGGGCCAACGTGTCAAGAAGTGGGGCCAGGAAGGCAGTATAAGTAGAAGTGATAGTGTCGTGTCATGGAGCAGTGTCTGAGCTGGATGGCCACAACCACCCACCCAGCTTAAGATGGATGGATGGATGGATAGGCAGATATAGTTTAAACAGTGAAATGATATAAGAGTGGGTGTCAATTTCAGAGGCTTAGAGGAGACAACATGAATCGCACTTCTCCACTTGTTATAAAACCCAAAAACCCTCAACTTTAATTTAATTACTTCTTAATTCAAAATAATGATGACTTTAATTACTTAATTACCCCCCACTCCAACCAAAGATGCTTCATATTATTGAGAATATATCAGTCATACTCACATGTCTTGTGTTCTCTTCTTATTGTATCATCCAATTTTGTTACATTTTAATGTTTATATAATTCATATGTCAATTACTAATCTTATGCTATACATATATAAAAGTTAGAATAATGTGTGTTTGTGACTGATTTGGTATGGTAATATGGGAGTACTTGGCAGTTGCAACCTATCAAAGTGTTGAGTGGGACCATTATTTGAGCTTATCAATTATTAGGGTCTTGTCTCGTCTCGTCTACTCTTTGATTTGACCATGTTGCTTTATGTTTCTCAAACGATTAATATCATTCTTTTTTAATATGTTTTTCTTCTCAACCACACACTAATTAGAATGTTTTTCTTTTATTCTATGACTTCAAATTTTTAATAACGTAACTAAAGGTATATATACTTTTGTAATTGGAAAGGGAAATAAAATATTTTTTTATAAGAGTGTGAAAATCTCTCCCCACCCATTTTAAACTGGTGAGTCTAATAAATTATAATGCCGACAATGTTGAGGAGGAGAGCTGTAGTTTTAATTTTTATATGGGAGAGAGTAAGTGCGTCCCATGGCAATTGGCAATGGGATAACACAAATATTTATGATTATAAAATGATTGGGAAAATATTGTATTTACCATTTAAAAAAAAACACACCATTTCAATGCAAGCAATTAAAACTGTGTTTCTAGGCCATATTGGGCAATAAATAAAAATCAATTTTATCTAAATTTATTAAAAAAATGTATTATTCATAATTAATTTTAAATATAGTACAATGAAACAAACTCGTAATAAACATGTTTTTTTTTTAATAATAAAAAAAAAATTGGGAATGATTTTAAAGAAAGACTTGTAAAGTTTGGTTTTGTGAGTGCGACATCTGACAACCTGATGCGACCGTTCCCTCCCAAACAAATTATTCCATTTTATTAGCCCTCACCAATTTTGTACATCCACACCTATAAATAAATACTAATTATTACACTTTACCCTAAATATATTTTCTTTTAATACAACCATTTTTTTTATTTTTTATTTTTTATTTATTTGTTTAGTTCAATAATGAGAGAATATTTATATTATTCTCTTCCTTGAGACAATAAATATGGAACAAGCTTAGGATTGTGATTTATTTTTACTTGGGCCGATGAAGGAAACTATTATGGGCTTTTCGGCATCATAGGCCCATAAGTCCATGGCGAAATTCAGCCCATAGGGTCGGCGGGAATGCTCCCTAGGATTTTCAATTAAATTATATAAACTTGTTATTATGTAAAATGAAAAAAAATTAAAATACAATTTTAATTCTTTTCAAAAAATATATATAATTTAATTCTACAACTATTAACTTCCATACTAATATTTAATAAATAAATAAATAAATAAGGTTGGTGTCTTGAATCACAAAAAAAAAAAAATAATAATAAATAGACTTTTAAGTCTTAAATACTTTAAAGGAACAAAACAAAAAAAATCATATATCTTAAAATACCACCTTTTCTTTTTAAATGAAAGATCACGTGTTAAACTCATTTCATGTATAAATAGAGAGATGACACATTAATTATTATGGGTACCACCAACTACTGCCCTCCATTTTAATCCCAATTAATATTTTATTCTTAATACTAAAACTTTAGATAAAAAAATCAATTTTATTCTTAAATATGAATTTCCGATTTAAATCAGATTTATATGTATATCAATTAAACTCATGAGCCAATCAATTTAAACTATTTATTAATATTACATTTAAAAATATTTATGCAATAATTATTATATTTGTATATACTTCTATAGTTGTCTAATGAATAAAATAAAAGACAATTAAAAATGATTGTATGAGATTAAAAAAAGAACGCAATGAAAAATTAAAATGATTTGTTTATAGTACATTAATCGTGTTATTATAAAAAACTTATAATATAGATATAGACGTAAAAAGAAAGTACTTAATCCTTCTATGCCTTTTTTATCTTCCTATAAATTAATTATATATTAATAAAGTTATGTATTGGTAATGATTAATTAGAGACCACAAACTTTCTACCTTTTTATAATCTTTAATGAAATGAATTTACCAAACAGCCCTTTGACTATATGAGTCACTCAATTCAGCTTGTTTTAACCAAATTTATAATTTTAAAATACATGGTATTTATAAATTTTAAAAATTTGTATTTTGCTGGCGTGAGGAAGACGCAATACTGAGGTAATAGAAACATATAGTATTTAAAAAACGAGGAACAATACTGAATTAAAAAATATATATATATATATATATAACACAGATTAGTAATTAGTGGAAAATTGGGGGGTTAAAAAAATATAGAAATGACAAAGGAGGGCTGAAGTTGTTAGGGGTCGGCGTCCATTGGTTTTTTGGGAGTGGAAAAGAGGGGAAAGGGCATAGAGTAGTGGGCCTTCTTGTTGGGCCCACTCCCACTTTAGCGGGTAGTACTGTCCAAAAACTTTTGGGTCCTTTTCACGCGTGGGGAGCCCACAATCAATATTTAGTTTTTATTTATTTTTATTTTTTTAAAATAATTTTTCAAAAAAGGAACCAAATATATAATCATAGTTAAATGTAGAGAGGGACAAGGAGAGCCTAATACAGAAAGTCGGCAAGTCTCTACACCCATATGGACTTGGACGGTGATGGCACCCGGGCCCATAAACCCACCTCTCGCTTTTAACATGGAGTTGAGATCAAAGCATCGACCTTTAAAATAATAATTATTTTTTAAATTTTAAACTACGATCCCATTTAGAATTAATATAATTTGATATACTGTTTAAATGTTTTTTTAGTAATTTTTTTTAAATATTAGGATTAAAAATAAAAAAATTGCAAATTTAATGAGACGGAGACAATTTTTATTTTTTATTTTTTATTCTCGTATCTTCTTATAATTTAGGTACAAGTGTAAAACCAGAATCCTATACCATACTTTCAACTTACTACACATGGAATATATATTTTTAAGAGAATAAAAAAGGGCGAAAATTGATTAAAATGAAATAAAACATTTAATTTAACTAAACAAGGGAATATAATGGGAAAATGGATTAAAATAAAATTAGGGGACAGATGTGGGGATCTGATAGGTGGGTGGGGGTTGCTCGTCTTCTTATGTTTCGGATTTACCCAAACCCATAAAGTTCTGCTGGTTAACCCTCACGTGAGCCCCCACGTGACCCATATTTTCCTCACATATTCCATTACCTCTATTTTTTACTCTGAAGTAATTATTAGGTATTTTTATTTTATTTTATTTTGAAGGACTAAATTTTAAATTTGTTAAAAATATATGAAATAAAGTAATATTTTAATTAGGATGACTCTGGAGTTATGAGAGAGAAGAAATTATTGTCGATATTAATGATTAATTAACAAAAAGGGAGAATGATTAAGGAATAGTTTAAGAAGTAAGATACGGGTTAAGATAATTCCGTTGTCTGTGTTAAACCCTTTTAATATCTATATTAATAAATCAAATAATTAATATAAATATTTTCTTTTAAAAAAGAAAAAAAATGAAGTAACTTTTTCACCATGACCAAAACTGTAAAAACAATATTGACCTACTTTACCACCTCATTCTAACCCACCTTCATTTAATGGTTTTTCAACAACGCACACTTTTAGGTTTCTTCTTTAGTTCAAAACTTTTTATATTTATAAATAATAAAATTAGTCCAAGATATCATTAAATATTAGTTTGTATATAAATTATTATTATTTAATTTGTGGACGTGTTTTATGTTAAAAAATATATAATTATTATTTTGCAATATTCTATAGTTTACAATACATTATATAATATAAATTTTAATTTTACAAAAAAAGGATTGAAATTATAATTTGAAATACTATTTATATATTATATATTAGAATTTAACAAATATGGTTTAAGTATAAAAATACCATATTCATAAGTTTTGAACCCTTCAAAATTCGACCTATACCAAATCTCGATGCACACTCGATACAATACTATAATAATAATAATCAATAATAACAATATGGGTCCCACGTCAATTCGTTTGTAAATCAATTAGCTAAACCTATATAATGGAAGGTTAGGGTACAAAAATGGGTGTAGATATGGGGTTCCAAGTTAGGCAATTTATATAAACAAGGGTACAAATTTGGAGCTTTAATTGTCATGTTATGATAAAAAAAGAACAAAGCTTGGAAAAAGGTGGTTGTGGTGTAGATGCCTTATGAATTGGGAAATAAAAGACTTTTTTTTTTTTTTTTCCAAATTATAAAATTATATAAGTTTATTAAATATTTATTAAACTAATTTTAAAAATGATTTTATATTGGGGCAATATTATTGATTTTTTTAATCCAGTTTCAAAAAATAAAATAAAATTAAAAGCGTGCACGCAAAGGCAATAAGTGAATTTGGTGTTTGAAGAACATAACATCATATTTTGTGGGGTTTGGATTATTTTGGATCAACTTTGCTGTGTTTTAGACAAATGTCGGATCCAAAACTCTCACTTTAATTTGCTTTTCAAATTTTCATTATTATTTATAAAAGGAATTAATAAATGTATAAAAAAATGCAATCTTGGGATCATAAACTAGGGAGAATAATGGAGTAATTCAGGGAGAATTTTAAGTAATTTTTTATTTTATTTTTTTCTTTAGGGCATGTGATGGCAGGAATCCGATGATTCACCACGACAGCATCAAACAAAATTTTACACGTTTTTTCATGGCTGGAATAATATTGAACTTCAACAAAACGACATGTCGGGCGCCTCAAAACGCCTCGGTTCCATTTTTAAGAAAATTAAAATGAATTAGGACACTTTGGAACCATGCGTGCTGGTAGAAATATCATCGAATTTCGTTCGTGTCGGATTCAAAATTCTTTTTTTTTTTCTTTTTTTTTTTATAATTTGTATCAGACAAAAATAACCATGAATTTATGGATCCATTATGTTGGTCGGTGATAAGGGTTTTGTTAATTCAAAATCATTTTTTTTAAAGTTAATTAATCCAATAATAGAGACCACATGTGAGGTGTGACATATACATATATAAGAAGATTTTCCCATGCTTTATCATACCTTCAATTAAAATATTAATCTCAGTGATAATAAATAAATACATTTAGAATATAAACAAACCACCGAGAAAAATATCGTATTGTGTGGAATGATTTAAACAATCTTATTCCTCTTAATTATCTAATATGTATGCATAAAAAAAAGTTAGAGGATAACTGTAACGGCCCGAGCTCAATGCTAATAGATATTACTTTTTCGAGCTTCTAAACATGTTCATTAGAGAGAGATTTTTACCCTCATATTTTGTCATCTTCTCCAACTGATGTGGGATCTCACTTATAATAATATCAATATCCAAAAAGATTTCTATCTCTATTTGCTAGATTATAACATTACTTTCTTAAATTACTATCCAAACGTGTTTCAAAATTTTCTCTAACGGAATTTTTTAAAACTATTTTCCACGAGTGGAGTCAGAGGGTTCAACAATGTCGTTCATTCCAATTTACCGGTGAGGATTGTTGAAGTCTTATATTAGCTAATTAAAGAAAAGGTCATGAGTATGTAAGCGAGAGACGATATCTCCATGGGTAAGAGGAGAAATCAAACCCAAATTTTAGCTGGCCGACTTATCCGAGAGTCAGAGTAACTACCACGAGACTACGTCACCTTATGAAAATATAAAAAAGAAAATAGGATTATGGAAATGAGAGAGAATATGGAGGGAGAGAGTGAAGACAAGGAGGAGAATGTTAGTTATGGTCAGACATAGGAGAGAGGCAAAAAACGAAAAGGAATATATTGATATCCATAGAGACTTAGGGTTTACAAATAATGGAAGATGTAGTTTTTTACTCAAACAGCCGACAAAGATTTTTGCGGTACGGACAACACACGAACTCCTTAAACTACACAAACTCCGTGAATATTTGTCACGGGCATTTTTTTTTTTAAAATAATTTTTGAATGATATGAAATGAATTACTTCTAATCTTATGCCTTTTGTATTATTCATAATAATTAACTTTTACATATTACCCACAATAACCAAGTTTATCATCATGGTGTACCCAACAAAACCTTACCCTTTAATAATTCAATTTACATATCATAAAAGAAATTAAAAAATGTATTGTAAAGACCCAAGTACACTGCTAGCATTCCCCTCAAGACTTTAAAACGCATAGGTTAGGAAAAGATTTCCATCCACCCACTCTTTCCTTTCTCCAATCGATGTGAGATCCTCGCCAAATCCATCCCTTTGGGTTCCAACGTCCTTACTTGCAAATTTTAAAACTTTAAAAACGCGTCTATAAGAAGGTTTCTATGGCCTTATAAAGAATGTTTCGTTATTCTCTTCAATCAACGTGGAACTCTAATAGTAAGTTTGTTGTCCACTGAGGTCAGAGATAAAGTGAAAGGAGAAGAAAAAGCAAGGAAATAAAGATAAAAGAGAGGTTAATAAAGAAGGAAGAAAAAGAAAGAAAAGGAGAGAGAGAGAGAGAGAGAAGAGAATATAAAGACAAAGGTTGTGTCTGAAACTCCATGATTATTCAAAATCTCTCTGAAAATTCAAAGCTTCTCTGGTAAGGCCTTGTTGAAGAAGAAGAAGAAGATGAACATAGGGGGTTTGCAAAGCTCAGTTATGCAACAGATGATGATGGGTTCAGAAAACCCTAATTGGTGGAATTCAAATAATCACTCTTCACTTCCTTTTCCTTCTAATTCCTTCTATCACCTTCAACACCACTTTCCAGATTCTTGGAGCCAACTTCTCTTGTAAATCTCTCTCTCTTTCTCTCTCTCTCTTTTAAATTTTAATCCTTTTTTACTTGATTATGTTTTTTATTATAAAGGGGCGATGTGGTTGGTGAAGAGGATCAAAAGGGTTGTATGCCAATGTTTCAACAAGCCAAGAAGTTGGAGGATTGGGGTGAAGAGACTTTGAATGGCAAAGTTGATGTCAAGAAAGACCACTCACCTCATTCCATCAACTATGTCTATGGACACGGCGGTGTTGGTGTCGGTGTCGGTGTCGTAGGCGACGATTATCAATTGGCTCCTAAACAAAACTGGTCCCCTATGATACCAGCTTCTTCTCCTCACTCATGTATCACAACTTTCAGTAGTAATATGTTGGATTTTTCAAATAATAACAATAACAAGTCTCCTGCTCATCATTCCCGCCCTACGCATCCTCAACCAGATCGCTCTTCCGAGGTTAGTACACAAATCATTTATGTCATGTTCAAAATTTTAGTATCGGGGTTTGGAAGAGACCCTTCAGAGACAAAATAATTAGTATCAACTTTGAATATAGTTCAATCGTAATTGATTTTGAGTTTGTGTTTGTTTAGTGTAACAGCAATCCAAGGGGTGGGGCAATGAAGAAATCGAGGGTTGAATCCTCTTCAAACCAAACTAGTTTGAAGGTAAGAATCAAAATCCACAAAAACAAAAGGAACAAACTAAAAAACCAACCCACATGGACATACAAATTGAACTAATTAATTGTCGTTCTTACTTGTCCATTTCTCCTCTCTTGCTGATTCTTAATACTAAATTGAACTAATTACACCATGTTTTTCCTTCTTTTACCATAGAATTACATGTGCTGCTTAGATTATTAATGCTTCTTTTTGGTAAAAAAAAAAAAAAAATTATTAATTACCCAGGTTAGGAAGGAAAAATTGGGTGACAGAATTACAGCTCTCCACCAGCTTGTTTCTCCATTTGGGAAGGTAAAAACTAATACCCCCACAGTAATTTGATTCGTTTTAGGGATTAATTACTGAATTAGAAAAAAGAGAATTACTTTTGATAATAATACAAACTTTTTCTTTGCCAAAGTCTTGAGAATGAGCTGTTTGTTCAAACCTTATGGACCCAGAAAAACAAAATAAAATAAAAAAATAAATATAGAGTTATTTAATTTTGATTAAATATTCAATTTAAGGCAAAAAAATATATATGAATTTGGATGGTTGTGGCGTGAAGCTGAGGTTGTCTTTTATTTTGTACAGACTGACACAGCTTCAGTTTTGTTAGAAGCTATTGGCTACATCAGATTCCTTCATACTCAAATTGAGGTGATGTTTCTTCTTCCATCTTCTTTTTCTTTTTCTTTTTTTTTTTTTAATTTCATATGAACACGATGAACATATACATGTCGAGGATTATTGGGAACGAGTCGCATCTTAATTAATTGAGTGGAAGATCATGGACTTACAAGTGAGGAATACTATCTCTATTGGTACGAGACCTTTAAGGAAGCTTAAAGCACAGCCATGAGAGCTTGTGCTCAAAGTAGACAATATCATATTACTGTAGAGAGTCGTAATCTTTCATTTTTGCATTGGATTTAGGCCCTCGGTTTGCCTTACTTGGGCAGTTCTTCGGGAAGTACGAGGCAGCAAGAACAACATTCTGTAAGAAATAATTCTCAACTTCCAAAAATATACAAAACCCATTTCAAATTTATGGACAAATTTTGTTTTTTTTTATAAATTTTGTAGGTTCCAGGAGAAAGAAATTGTATGTTTCCTGAGGACCCTGGCCAGGTGAGGTTTAAATATAATACATATAATTTTTCCTTTTTCAAAAGGCTACGCTACTTGATCGTACATTCTTAATTGGTAAGGAATCATAAAGTATCCAACTTTATTGACTTGAAATGATCCAAGGTTTTAATAACTATATACATTCTCATTACCCTTGTTTCTTAATCAATAAACTTTCTTAAAAACACCAAATTAATCGGCTTTATTCACCGGTTTTCTCTCATGTTATTGTTTTCACTAGCTCTTGAACGACAACGGCTTGAATAAGAATGGAGTCTCTCACCAGGTTGGTTCACTGCTAATAGATATTATCAGTTTTGGTCTTGACTTGCATGTAGATATTAATTTTTCGTTGTTGAATGTATGGAATTGGTCAGGTGGGTCTAATAAAAATTTGAACTTTAATTTGTTTTTAGGAGGAAGAGGGAGAGAAGGATCTGAGGAGTAGAGGGTTATGTCTGGTTCCAGTATCCTGCACCCTGCAAGTTGGGAGTGAGAATGGAGCAGATTATTGGGCTCCGACGTTCGGCGGTGGTGGCGGTTTCCGGTAGACGGTGGTGGTGGTGGTGGTGGTGGAAGAATGAAGATGGAGAGAGGTACATTATGAAAGTGATATCATCATGAGCAGTCACTCTGCTAAAGAAACCAAAGGCTGATTGCTCATGATGCTATTCAAACATACTCCAACCTCAGAAATATTATACCAACAGTGTTGTAGCAGATGCCTTTCAAAATCTAATCTTTTCTTAGTAATTGTGGGTTTTTTTTTTTTTTTTTTAAATCTTAGTTTATAATTAAAATGTTAATTATTATTATGATGTTTTGATTATCCCCCTTCATAATTTGGCTACTCTCTTTCAGCATTATAAATGAATTAAATACACTTCTAAACGCTTTCTTTTTCGAGTCATTCGATCTAAAACTGCTCAACACTGAGAACTTAATCCACTTGTCACAATCGCTCTCTTGATGGCAGCGGACTTGCGATTGTGCGGCACTCACTTTCCAACGACAAGTGAGTTAAGTCAATTCATTCTTACGCCGCCTACGTCCAAGTGACGTATGCTCGAGCCAATTCTTGAAAACTAAAAATGAAGAGGAATCTCCACCGCTGGTAGATATTGTCTATTTTGGCTCCTGTCAGCCTCACTCATATACAAGACGTCTATTAGGGAGAGGTTTCCACATTCTTAAAAGAAATATTTTGTTCCTTCTCCAACCGATGTGGGATCTCACACGTTGAAATAAAATATATAAAACGTCGTAATCTTGACATAATCTAATTGGGGCGGGGCTATGAGATGAACACTATTCCAAAACTAAGAAAGTTTTGATATATTTCCTTTTTTAATGAGGGAATATAATGCATTCACATGTAAATCTTATATCTTTGATATTTTAGTATATAAGATACATGTCAATTCATGAAAACTACGGATTATGCATGGAAGAAAAATTTATGAATTTATAATAACAACAATTATGAAAGTCCATGTATTAAATTCATATCCAATATTAGCATGAATATATTAAAGAAATAAAAAAAATAATTAAAGAAATTTTTAACGTCAATAGAAGGATAAATGAGTCATTTTGTCCCACGGGAACGTGAATATTATATAACTTTCAACCATAAATGTTTGTATAGCTTGAGACGTTAGTTTTGGCCAATTTGATAAACATTTAAGAAATTGAAATAGTCAAAGCCACCATAAAAATATATATATAAACTCTTATCTTTGACACACAAAACAAGTCCTTATCTTTGAATGACCCGTCGATATCTTATCTGCTCGGGTTATAGTTAGCGTTCTAATAGTTTAAGCTTACCGCTAGCAAATATTGTCCTCTTTTGACTTTTCCTCTCGGGTTTCCCCTCACGATTTTTAAAACGTATAAACTAGAGAGAGGTTTACACACCGTGTTTGATTCTCCTTTCCCACTGATGTGGATCTTACACCATGTTTCATAATCACTCAACTTTGTAGGCGGCTTCCGAAGGTCCAAGACTCCATCAACCGTCTTGCTTCATGTCATTAACAACTTCCCATTTGTGTATTGTACAATTTTAAAACGACAACGCACAAGACATTGAATTCTCACACATGATAGACTTTGTAACATATGTAAACAAACACCCCACGTCTCTTCCAATTATATATCAACAGGCTTTTGAAACAAACTCTGGTTGAGATTGGAGAGGAAACATGGAGAGTCCTATGATGTTGGTCGGTGTAGTTATAATGCTATTGGAGATCAGCCTCATGGCCCATGCAGCTGTTCCTGCCACTGTCTTGAAACAGATTGATATGGTAAACAAAAATGGCCCTTATTTGGGCATAGTGGTGCCTAATGCCTTTGAAATGAACCCTCTTCTTCAATCTCCAAGCCTTGTGGTTGATCCTACTCTTCCACACTTGGATTTTTCAGGTCATCATCTCTATGCTTTTGCTTTTGTGTAAGGAACAGATAACAGTCGATTTTCGAGTTCTGATTCGTTTTACGTTTTATAGGTCGACGGTTTCGATTCGGACATATAAGAGGCAAGAAGGTCATAGTTGTGATGACAGGACTAAGCATGGTATGTCGTAAAAAAACGATTGTTTTGATATGTTTTAACTAATTGAATTATGCTGAGATCGGGACGATGCATTGATCTTCCATCTATGAATAGCTTAATGCAGGAACAACTACAGAGTTGCTTCTAACTCTGTTTAAGGTAACAGGTGTGCTTCACTATGGAATAGCAGGAAATGCTGATCCTGAGCTTGAAATTGGTGATGTAACTATTCCTGAGTATTGGGCTCATACAGGCTTATGGAATTGGCAGGTAAACAAATGAATCCCTCCAAGGGAAGCACTCAAAATAGTGTTTTTCTAATCATTTCATGTTGTGAGCAGCGGTTTGGAGATGGACCAGAGGACGAACTTGCATTAGAATCCAATGGAGATTACACAAGAGAAATTGGGTTCTTGAAATTTTCAAACTTCAATACAGTTGAGACAAAGAATGAAACATCTTTAGACAACCTTTTAAACAATGTTTGGTACCAACCAGAAGAGATCTTCCCTGTGGATGGAACTCCTGAAATCAGACAGCGTGTCTTTTGGATTCCTGTGGACAGACAATACTTTTCAGCAGCCAAGAAACTTGAGGTACCTGTCTGTATAACCCCACAACCTCCATAATAATTGAAACAATCATGTTCCAAGTTTGATTCTAGTGTAAGTTTGAAGTAATCAATTTGTAAAGCCGAGACTTACCCGCTTGCACATATTGTTGTTTTCTTTGGATTTTCTGTTCTGGGCTTTTCTCCTCGAGGTTTTAAAACTCGTCTGTTAGGGAGAGGTTGCACGTTCTTATAAGGAATGTTTTGTTCCCCTCTCCTACCAATATGAGATCTCACAATCCACCCCCTTGGGGCCTAGCGCCTTCGCTGGCACACCGTCCGGTAATTGGTATGGAAACCTCTCTCTGATAGACGTATTTTAAAACCTTGAGGGGAAGCTCAGAAGGGAAAAGCCCAAAGAACAATATCTACTGGCGGTAGACTTGGGCTGTTATAAATGATGTGCCAGCGAGGATGTTGAGCCTCCAAGGGAGTGGATTGTGAGATTCCATGACGGTTGGAATGGAGAACGAAACATTCCTTATAAGAATGTGGAAACCTCTTCATAGCAGATACGTTTTAAAACCGTGAGACTGATAGTGATACATAATGGGCAAAAACTGACAACTTCTGTAACCAATGGACTTAGACTGTTACAAATGGTATCTGAGTCGGTGACCAGATGGTGCAAGGCACTAGTCGGAATAGGGCTATACGCTCTCTATAAAGGAAAGCTCAAAAAGACAATATTTGCTAGTGACGGACTTGAGGACGGTTACACAAACGAACCAAACTCGATTGGGTTGCTATAAAAAGAGATCAGGAGAGAACACAACACAACAATTGGGCGTGTTAAAGATTTTAAAGCTCTATCTCTCTGATTTGCACAATATATAGTATGAGGCCTCGTGAAAATTCATAATTCGGTTCCTGTAATTTCATGACTACAGGGACTGAAGTTGGAAGGGTGTGTGAACTCAACAGCTTGCTTACCAAGAGCGCCTGTTGCAGTGAGAGTGCAAAGAGGGGTCACTGCCAATGTGTTTGTTGACAATAAATCTTACAGAGAGTTCCTGCATTCAACATTCAATGTGACCCCCATTGACATGGAATCTGCAGCTGTGGCGCTCGTCTGTCTTCAACAAAAGATACCCTTCATTGCAATTAGATCACTGTCTGATTTGGCTGGTGGAGGCTCTGCTTTGTCCAATGAGGCTGCCGCCTTTGCTGGGCTTGCATCCCAGAACGCTGTCACTGCTCTCATTAAATTCATCACTTTATTGTGATAAAGCAGATAGACACTAGCAATTTCTTCAACAAAGAATTATTAATAATGCAGTGTTGTGAACTTTTAATATCCTGTTCTTTTTATCAATAATGATGTGATCTTTCTCCTCATTTTTATTTCTACCCATCTTATTGGTTGGGAGTGAATCTTACGTTGGCTGATTTAGAAAATGATCGTGAGTTTATAAGCAAGGAACACATCTCTATTGGTAATGAGGCTTTAGGAAGCCCAAAACAAAGCCATGAAAGTTTATGCTCAGAGTGAATAATATCATATCATTGTGGAGACCGATGATTCTTGGTTTTTGGGGTTGTGGGTGTATTCCTCTAGTATCAAAAAGACTTCTCTCTGTGATGCTGCTCATGATCTTACATACATGTATGCAGCAGGTGCATTGTGTGGGGTGGCTATGCTGTGTAAACCGTGCTAGCCATTCGGACCGAGTTTGACATTGTTTTGTACCGATCGTCTCGTTATGTAGTAGTCTAAGTTTACCACTATTAGATATTGTCCACTTTGGCTCGATAAGTATCGTCGTCGGCTTCACGATTTTAAAACGCGTCTATTAAAACCAATTTATAATGGATTATAAGAGGATTTGTAAAACTTATTAATACACTAATTTCTTTATTTTAAAGAAAAAATAAGAAAATTATAAACGAAATAATTATAAACTAAAGGTTGATAATTTTTAGTCTGTTCAAATAATTTAAAGTAACATAATTGATTACCATAAATAATAATTACAAATTTGGTAAATTTGTAAATTAAACGGTGGGAAAATGTGTTATATTTATTTTGCCCGAAACGGTCAGCGGAAGCGGAAGGAGGCATACCCTTTTACGTAATTTCTCATGCTGAATTCCTCATAACTAGAATTTAGGGTTTATGAATTTACATTCCATCTTTTTCAACGATAATCGGCGTTCACACTTCAGACCGACCCGTTCGTCCCTGTACATCGTATCAGGCAGAAGAGTTAGGAAAACAAGGCGAAAGGATGGGTTCCAGGGGTAAAGACTCTACGACTCACCATCAGCCGTTATTGAGCAGTCTTGTTGTCCGGCCTTCAAATAGTGACGGGGGTGGTGGCGGAGTCGGTGGAACCAGTGGCGGCCGCGTTGGTCGTGGAAGCGATTATGAGGCGGGTGAGGTTCCCCGTGACCCTCCACAATATTCTCGATTGGATCGATATTCAGATGATTTGGGTTCGTTATTATTCTACCGTACACCTTTGTTTTTGCTCGGTTTTCGAGCTATGATTGAATGAGTAGTTTCTGTGCTTAAATGTTTTTTTTTCCTTCTAAAAAACTTGTCACCGTGTTGAAGTTAATTGCTTGGCGACTTTAGGTAGG